CTCTCCTGGAGGGCCTCTGGGAGCCCTCGTGTGGCCGTCTCGGGCCTCTCGGGCCATCTAATGTCGTTTGGGGGCCGCTGATGCCGCCTTGGGCCATCCTGGGCCGTCTTGGTGTCGTCTTGGCTGTCTTGGAGGCCGTCTTGAAAGCCATCTTCGCCGTCTGGAGGCCGAGCAGAGCGGCTCGAGGGCAGAGCGGGGGCGCCAGCTGGCGAGGGTGAACGGCGGGTTTGATGGCGGTTTTGGCCGACGGCAGACTGGTGCGCTCAGGGGTGTTCGAGGGAGGGAAGGAGGGAGGGAGGGAGGGAGGGAGAGAAGGAGAGGAGGGAGGGAGGGAGGGAGGGAGCGAGCGAGGAGGAGGAGGAGGAGGAGGACGAGGAGGAGCAGGAGGAGGAGGAGGAGGAGGACCAACGTAAGCACAAGACGCATCAACGATGTTGCCATGGACCATCCCTCCAAGTTCCCTCTCCATGGGCCCCTCATGCGGGAAGTCCCCCTTTGAAAAACGAACGTCTGAGAACCCTCAATCGTGTACCCATATTGGGAGACTTCGATGCCGCGAATCGTGACTGTTGCGTCCTGACAATCTCAAATCGTGCCAGAGCACGACTCGTTCTTGTGAGTTCAACACAGCGACACAGCGTGACTATTGCGTCCTGGCAATCCTGGATCGTGCCAGAACACCGTTCATGGGACTTCTACCATGCGGATCCTCGAAGGTGCTGGAAACTGCTGAAAACGAATGCGCGCGGCGCCAAGGCGAAAGCCATAGTTTGAGAACCACCCGCCCTCCATCCTCAGCTTTGTTGCAAGTTTGTATAGCAAATGTGCGCGGCGCCAAGGCGAGAACCACATTCTGAAAAAACGGCCCGCATCCTTGAAGCTGTCGCAAAGTTGGATAATTCATGCTCGCGGCGCTAAGGCGAGAACCACATTTTGAAACCGACCGCCCTACATCCCTGAAGCAATTTCACACTTTCATAGCGAATGTGCGCGGCACCACGGCGAGAGCCACAGTTTTAGAAGGACCCGCCGTCCACCCTTGAAGGTCTTGCAAGTGTCAAGCTTCAGGATGGTGAATGGTAGGGAATTCTCAAGGGAAAGGCCTGACCCGCCCTACCGACGCATCTGGAGATGCGACAGGGGTGAGTTGGTTTAGAGGGAAAGGGATGGAGGAGGAGCAGGAGGAGGAGGAGGATGAGGAGGATAAGGAACAGGAGGAGGACGAGGAGTTGGAGGAAGAGGAGGAGGAGAAGGAGGAGGAGGAGGAGGAGGAGGAGAAGGAAGAGGAAGAGGAAGAGGAGGACGAGAAGGAGGAGGACGAGAAAGAGGAGGAGGAGGAGGAGGAGGAGGAGGAGGAGGACGAGAAAGAGGAGGAGGAGGAGGAGGAGGAGGAGGAGGAGGAGGAGAAGGGGGAGCACAAGGGGCGAGGAGGATGAGGAGGAGGAGGAGGATGAGGAGGAGGAGGAGGAGGAGAGGAGAAGGAGGAGGAGGAGGAGGGAGGAGGGAGGAGGGAGGAGGAGGGGGAGGAGGGAGGAGGGAGGAGGGAGGAGGGAGGAGGGAGGAGGGAGGGAGGGAGGAGGAGGGAGGAGGGAGGAGGGAGGAGGGAGGAGGGAGGAGGGAGGAGGGAGGAGGGAGGAGGGAGGAGGAGGAGGAGGAGGAGGAGGAGGAGGACGGAGGAGGAGGAAGCGGAGGAGGAGGAGGAGGAGGAGGAGGAGGAGGAGGAGGCGGAGGAGGAGGAGGAGGAGGAGGAAGGAGGAGGAGGAGGAGGAGGAGGAAGAGGAGGAGGAGGAACGACGAGAAGGAGGAGCAAGCGGAGCAGCGAGGGCGAATGCAGGAGGGAGAGGAGGAGGGAGGAAGAAGGAATGGGACCGTTGGAGGAAGGGTAAGGGTGGATAGACGGGGGAGGCGGATGAGGAGACTGAGGAGGAGGAGGGCGGGCCGCCAGGCTGCCCAAGCCGTGCAACCGAAGGACGGGAGCACGGGCCACCTCAAGGGCCGCTGAACCAATGAGGTCAAGCGGGGTGCTGAGACGCGTAGCGTCTATACTACAACCCATCAACAATCAAGGGGCTTGCCCGACTCTGGATGCCGCCCCGACCTGGCGGCGGCAGTGTCTTGATTATGTCTGTACCTGGTGAGGCCGTGCTCGGATGGGCCAGCACGTTGGCCCTCGAGCCGACAGTTGGCCACTCTGCCTTGTGTCGCCGGGTACGAGCCACCTGTGGTTCAGACCATGGCCGCGGAGGTCACCAAAACTTGGTGCCCATGGAACTCGACATTAGCTTCAGCGGACACTGACAGCCCTTCACGGACAAAACTCGCCGCATCGCCAGCGACACTCAATTCGAGCACCAACACTATGGCAGCTTCTAGTGCAACTTGCACGGTCGCCGAGCGCAAAGGTGGGGCCCCTTGCAGCTTCACACCCGCCCGAGCGTTGGGCCTCTATTGGGCCGTGGGCTGACAAGGCCCTTGGAGCAGCTCAGCTAAGCTGGCACGGGTCCTGGCCTGCCACAGGCAACCCTCACACTGCTATATGATAGGGCCCATGACGGCCATACGATGTGCCATGAGGGGCCATATGCCTTAGGGGTGGGGAGCCAGGCTCACGATAGGCATGTGCGGGGCGGTCACTCAGTGCATCACGGTACGTTATGCGGCATACCTATCATGAGATGCAATGCGCCTGCAACTTAGATTCTGACAAGCGTCCTTCGTAGGACTTGGCCACGGTATCCGCCAGCTCGTGGGTCACCGCCCCCTTTTTCGCAGGCTTGTCCGTCCAGGCGTTCCCGAGGCAGCATTCCCAAGTGCACTGGGCGCTCGGCGCAAATTCTTTTTTTGGTGTGTGTGTGTGTGTCTGAGAGCAGGGCGCCAATGAAATTCGGGCGGCGTCCGCCCAAAAGTCTGTGTACTGCGCCTGTGCGTCGGAACGATTCTCTTTAGCCACGAGCGAGGACAGGGCCGACACCACCAGAGGTGCCTCAGGGAGTAACCTAAGCGCTGCGAGCAGAGGTACACGTTCCGCTCGTCCTGCTGTCTGAACGGGACCTTCGAGGGCCCATGTGCAGCTCGTAGAAGAAGACCTTTATCGCCTATCGCAGAGGGCAACGAATTCCACGAAGGGGGGCATCGATGCAGTAGCTCAGTGGCTATCGGATCGGGACGCCCTCCCAACGCACTCACTCACTCACCTTCATCGCCTAGCTGACAAAACCCCCCATCCACAGCGCCTCAATTTGGGCCATGACGGAGCCAGTCCCGACCCATCAGTATATACACGAGGGAGGACCATCTGGTACTGGTCGAGCTCCAGTCGCCCCACAGCTTCACCTCGGGTCCCGTGGAGACCTTGATAGTAAATTGAGGACATACCGGCATACATATACAAGCATCAAACCTATCCGAATCTGGGCCAGCAAGCCCATGGTAACCTCTTCCACGTACATTCTCATATGCGTGGTCTAACTTGGGTCCCACAGGAGGTCTGCGTCAGTCGTGTCGTCGTAAAACAAGCGCAGCCGACACACTTCTTGTCCCAGCGTGACACCAACTGCTCCACACCAGGGGCAAGCAGCAGGTATAGTATATCATGCTTATTGCTGGTGGTCTCGAGTCCAAATGCCTCCGGCCCAGGGCATACGAAGCGCACCCGCAAAACGTGGGTGCGTGACGACCGCCCTGGCTCCACCCAAGCACTTGCGCAAGACTCGAAGCCACATCTCTTCACTACCACAGCGAACATCTCGATGGTGCTCCAGTGCCCTCCCAGCCTGCCATCTCTCAACTCCTAGGCGTGCCAATTCGCACTCCGACTCGGGAGGTACCTGCCAGGGATCAACTACTAGACCCTGGTCATCCGCGACTACCGTACTAGATTGCATACCCCATCCACTACGATCTAAATTTGGCCATTGTACCTCAAGACGCCCACAGACTCCTGCTCAATACATTCTCTCCCGCACCGTATTCCCGAGGGCCCGCCGGGCCCGCTGCAGCCTGTTCAGCGGGACACGCTAGTCCAAAAGGGAGCTGTCGTAGGTCCTGAGGGGCTCCATCGCGGCATGGTACATGTGGTCATGCATATTATCCTTCTGGGTGACGAGGTAGTGCATGAGGGATGTACAGGGCGACGACCGCCCGCATCTCATGCCAGCAAGTTTGAAGGGGCCCTGGGACACACGAGTAAATACACAAATGACAGGATTCCCCATATTTCCCAACCAACCTGTGTTGTTGGGTCCTCGTTTTGAAGAGACGGTCCCCGCGTTCCTCATTCCTCCTCCCTCCCCCCCTCCTCTCATCATCATCATCATCATCATCATCATCATCATCATCATCATCAGAAGCCGCACTGGCTCTTTCCAGCGACGGCACGGCTCCGCGCGTCAGACCGAGCCCCCTTCGCTCGCGCCTGCCATGAGCCGCCACGGGAGCCGTGGGGTTGCGCGCCCATGATTGGCGCGAAAGGTCTCCTTTGTGCGCTTCCCGTGCTCGCGCACAACGTGGGCAGCCTCCAGCCGTCGAGACTTCAGGAGCTGAGCCTGGCGTACCGCAGCGTGGCGGTGGGAGGCCTGACGGGAACATGCCGACGACGACCACAGGCATTCGCACGAGGTGATCCTCGACCAGTACACACACGAGAGAGCACGCCGTACCACAGCATCATCCACTTCCCTTGGCAACCTGCAGCATGCACGAACAAGAGCGCGGGTTGCAGCATCATCTTGGGCGAGCGCATCAGGAGCTCATCAGTTACAGCCATCGAGGTGCCGCCCAACATCGTCGCGGGCAGAGGTGGCATGATCGACATTGATCAGGGACCACTCTGTCTACGCGTGGCTGTTCTGTACTTCGAGCCACGCCCTCGCACTGCGAAAACTCGACCAAGCTGGCGCAAGGGTTGTCAAGTACTTCGACAGTGGTTAGACACATTGTTACGCAACTGCCCGTATCGTCGAGTACCCCTCATCATGATGGACGCCAACACTGACATGGGCATGCGTGGGCAGCAGATCTACCAGGACGAATGCATCGGCCCTTTTGGCAACGGCAACGAGAACGAGAACGGGAAAGCTCTGCACGACCTGCTGCTGGACCACGACATGGGTGCCGTCAACACCCACCGCAAGGTGGGCCCCACCTTCATCGGCCACAGTGGAGCGACGACGATCGACTTCATTTTCATCCCGTCTTCTCTTTTGGCGGAATCCACGTGCAGGCGCTGGCTTACCACGGCGAGACGCACTCGCAAGAGCAAGTATTTCTTGGACCACATCCCCATCGTTGCACGCCTTCTGTTACCCTGCCCTGGACACGATCAAACTACTCGCAGCAGCTGGAGCTGGCCTAAGATCATGGACTGCCTCCAACAAGGACATGGACGTGAGCCCTTTCTTCGTGATCTCCGTGAGAAGCTTGAGCAGTACCAAGTCCAGTTTCAAGAGGTACGCACCGACCCGAACCCAGACAGACACATGTACCTCTTCGTCGCCGTTTGCAGGCAAGTCGCTACCAAGCACTTCTCGTTGGTGTCTGAGCGGCCGCCCTGGTACAGAGAAGCGACGAGGCGAAGACTGGACCTGATCAAGGAACTGGCCATCGCCAAGCGCGCAGCCTTCCACGTCGACGCTCCCGACGCAGCACGCGACGAGGTGAAGGCACTCACCAAGGTACTGCACGCACATCTTAAACGTATACGAGCTGAAGCTGACCGTGACCTCGAACAGCAGATTCGTGAAGGATGGGCTCATCGCAAGTAGGCAGATATGCACCCGGCTGCGCGAAGGAGAGCACACAAGGGGCATCGGCGTTCGCAAACGGGACTTTCGGTCACTTCCGTCGTGCCAACCGTCCAAAGACGAATGGATTGACTTCCTTTCTTTACCTGGCTGTGACGGAGGGTTTTCTGCTAGTCTACTTCACGACGACGATATCTTACCAGCACTTGCAGTCGCGCATCGTCCTGGCGAACCAATTGTACTACCCCCGCGGCCCGAAGGACCCGCGGTCACGATAGGCATCCAAGAGTTGTTCCTAGGCCAAGACGATTTCTTCGAGACTCGCAAACATTTGTGGAAAATGAAGAGGCGCAAATTCGCACCATGCTGGAGTTTACCTACGGAGATATACCCCACCATGACCAACCCGTGCATCCTCAGCAAGCCAGGAGCGCAGACGGCAGGACTGGGATTATTCATGGCTTTCGACCCCATGGATTTCGAGAACCCGCCCGACCCCTCTAAGAGAAAGCTGCCCCTGGACGAGTGCACTCAGGCATCGAAGATCCTCACTGATCTACATGCGCATGCTCGCGCCACTCTTGCCACGCCCAACCAGGCTAACATGAGCCAGACGTTCGCTTTGGACAAGAGGAAAGCCATCCCTGGACCACCTGGCCTTCGTCTCCTTCATTGTTTCTGCCCATGGTGGCGATGTTTCTTCAGACGTATCACGAACCGCGAGGGCGGGCCATGCGAATCTCCTGAGTGGGCGTACGGTGGCATTAGCAAGCGCAGAAGGGAAGCAATGATGTGTTTATCACGCGTGGTCGCTCATCGTGCACGCGCATGTAAATGGACCCTGGTTGCTGAATCTTATGACCAAAAACCTGCTTTTCAGAGTGGGAAGTTGGATGACCTCATGATCATCGCTGGCAATCGTGTTTTACAGAAGTTTGTCGACCTAGGCGAGCCCGACGAGATGCAGCGACACATTCAAGGCAACATGGGCTTCACTGCTCAGCGTCGTTATCACGCAGTTATGCGCATCTCTTCTCCGCAGGGCTGGTTATACCTCAAAGCTGGCAGTGGCGGCCTCATGGGCGACAGCAACGAACCAGCATTCTTCATGGGCAATTATTACGAAATTATATCTGAGTACATCGCCACCGCCAGCGGCATCTCTAAATACACATTGGCTTCTTCAGAAATGTTTCACGACACTGTCAACGTTGGTGTTGGGCTCTTCATTGATGACTTACTGAAACTCTTGGCCCTACCACCTGAGGCAACAGCAGACGAGATCCGCGACGTGAGCAACTTAGACGCCGAGTGCCTGGACACCAGTGGCGAAGAAAAAGAGTACAAGCAGAACCGCACCAAGGCCGAGATTGTCGTCGCCGCCTCTCGTCGTGGTATCACACACAAATTGGCGACAGATCGACGTCTGGTGGGGTAGATGTTACCTGAACTGAAGCACCTTGGCGGCATGTTCTCTGCATCTGGTAGCAACGTCGCTGAGCGTGCTGAACGTCTACGTGCTATCAACCGCGCCTGGGGTCAGTTGAGTGGCTTTTGGCATTCCGAGGCTGGCTGGAAGCCCAAGCGTTTTCTTTTCGGAGGATGTGTCCACAGCGCGGCCACGTCTGGAGGAGAGAGCTACTTGCACACCAAGGCCGACTTCCAGGCCCTCCACTCCATCTTGATTGGGAAGCTTCGCTCTATGCTCCAGGGTCGTGCTCACACTGAGGCCCACGGCATGCATCGTTCCTGGCCCTCTCTTAACGTTTGGCGATATTGGAAGCTGACACCAGTTGCGCTTGAACTTACGGTACGACGACTATGTTGGTGGCGCGACATTCTTACGGATATTCCGCAGCATATTCACTTCCTAGTCGGCTTCTTCGGCAACTTGGCCCTCGAAGGTGCAGCTAAAATGAATGTACCGATCTTGGACGGTCAAGGGGTGATCAACGTGAATGCCCCCATCCACCCTTGGGCCAAGCAGCTCCACGATGATATCGAGATTCTACTGACCATTGATCTGGCTACTGAATTACGCGACATGTGGCACCCGAGAAGTATCAAGCGGCTTCTGGGGGACGAGGAGATCCGCGACATGTACACAGCCATCGACCCCCGCACTCTGAGAGCTGGCTGTTTCTCTCAACAGTGGCGACCTCGCGGTGCACCACTAGCAGAACAGATGCCGCTAGAGGGAGAGAGATCACAGGTATCGAAGGCGAGAAGCTTCATACGTGCGAGATAGAGATGAAGGGTGGATCGAAATGTGGTCGCACCTTTACTTCTCTTTCGGCGCTGCGTGCACATCAGACGCACATCAAGGAGCCCAGCCACATGATGCGCAGTGTACTCAGTCTCCTGGTTGTGGATAACAAATGTTTGATATGCCACACCGTCTTTCGCAGCCGTGATCACTGTGCACGTCACTTTCTTCGCGGGTGGAATGCCCGTCGCTGTGTGCGCCAGAGCACGGCGCAGCTGTGGCAGTACAGGCCCCCCGACTGCCTTGAGTGCCCGATCTGCAAAGACGTTCCTTCACCTCTTCTTCCCCCCAGGGCCTCTGCAGCCTCACGGGAACGACGAATATGGCCGTCTGGATCCCCCCCCCCCCCCTTAGGGCCCACTGGGGGCCTTCACCGTCTACAGCTACACCGACAAGAGCGAGCCAGCCTACAGCCAGCCGAACTACAAACCAACGTTCATCACCAGCAGCAGCAGCAAGCACCTCATCCGCTTCATTACCGCAAACATCAGCACCATCAGCCAGAATAGCTAGCCAGCCGTACGATCAGGGTCAACATAAGCAAGCAGCACGAGCCAAATCAGCGCCTGTACGGTCACGAATACGAAGCAAAACTACACAGAGCCAAGCTCCGACTACCGCCACTACATCATTGCCGTCGTCATCTCCGTCAGCATTTGGCTCTACTGATGCTCTTCGTACCCACCTGCGCACTCATATACCTGTTCATTTCTCTGCACGGCCGTGGACAGTACGCGAACTTCGACAAGCGTCAGCTCGGCCCACGCTGGGCGCTCGCCCAGCACCTTCATCTACGCGAGCTGCTTCAACCCGTGCCCCGCCTCGTCCACGCGCGGCCGTTTCCTCTTCGGCTTCTGATGAGGCCAGCCTGGCGCCCGCTGGCATCCTCGCCTCCGTCTGGGATTGGTGGCGGAGCCGCAGTACGCGACAAGCGAGGAGTCCCCCCAGGTGCTCCGAAGGCGACACGGCGAGGCGGCAAGAGACGCAACAAGGGCGACAAGCCAGAGAAGGTGATTCAAGTCAAGGACAAGGGACTCCGATAACTACTGCTACTCGTACTCAAGCAGACGCTGAGCAACACGCAGAAGGTACGCATGATCGAGGGCATCTTGCTAGACACGTTCATCTTCCCGAAGAACCACAAGCTGGTGTCCAAGATGCAGGGGGAGCAGGAGCTCTTCGTCCTGCGCGTCGACGAGTACCGCAAAGAGAAGGATAATAACCCGATGACCGAGCCTCTCGGCCCCCCCGCGCGCGCTGCTGTTCGCGGCTCTGATCGAGACGGCAGCGACGATCGACGCATGCGGCGGCGACAACCTGAAGAAGATCAAGACGCTGTCCGACGACATCAACAAGTGCGAGAAGGCAGAGGACGTGGAGCAGCTCGTGCGCGTCTGCCGTCTCCAGAAGACGGCCCAGGAGGACCAGATGAAGATCGTGCTGGGCATCCAGAACCTCGGCGACCGACGCTTCGGCCTGATCGACGGGCTACGCCAATGCGGAGGCCGTCATCTGCGCGGCTCGGCACCCGCGGGCTACATGGAGGAGGAGCTGCAGGAATGGACCGAATGGATGGAATCGAACCTGGCGGCATGAGTTCCAGATGATTGTACTGAGTTTATCGCGGTATTGATTTCAGCTCAGCGGTGACGTGGTGAGTTGGCTCACGATGTTCCGCCGAGCTCTGAGAAAGGCTTGCCCCGCAGCCACTGTTTCTTCTTTTTCCGCCTCGTGTGCCCCGCCGCCCTCCGTCCCTCCGCCTTCTCTGCTCGTCCTCTTCTGTGTTTGGGTCTCTTTAGCGTCAGGGTCTGCGGCGGCGCGCCCCGCAGATCGCACCTGTGCTGGGCAACTGCTGCCCCGTGCACGGTGTGCGTAGTGCTCCGTGGTGCACATCCGCTCTCGCAGCGGGCAGAGGGCTCCAGTGCTGACCCCAAGTTACCCCTCCCCTTGAGCCCCGATTCTGTTTAAAAAATCATCATCATCATCGTCATCGTCATCGTCATCATCGTCACCATCATCATCATCATCATCGTCATCGTCATCATCGTCATCGTCATCATCGTCATCATCGTCATCATCGTCGTCATCAACATCATCAACATCATCATCCCCCCCCAGTACAGCGTTTCGTGGTCCCACGGGAAGGCCCCCGTGGCGCAGTCCGCATGCGTCTCCCCCACCCAGTACAGCGTTTCGTGGTCCCATATGGAGCCCCACTGAAGGTGCCCGTGGCGCAGTCCGCATGCGTCTCCCTTACCCAGTACAGCGCTTCGTGGCCCCATAGGGAGCGCCACCGAAGGTCCCCGTGGCGCAGTCCGCATGCGTCTCCCCCACGCAGTACAGCGCTTCGTGGCCCCATAGGGGCTCCACCGAAGGTCCCCGTGGCGCAGTCCGCATGCGTCTCCCTCGCCCAGTACGGCGTTTCGTGGCCCCATAAGGA